TCTCAACTCATAATAATATATCTTCTCAAGTTACTACTTCAACCCCCCTCCTTGTGGGGCACTTGAGGATTACTTTGCTATTAACCTCAGGGCCCACTAGATTATTTGGGTTAAAAGTCATTGGCATCTGCATTTGTAAAAAAAGTGTGTTAGGTCCCTGTTTTCTATTCTACAATGTATGAGATTTGATCAGTATGAATAGAAGAAGCTTTCCATTGATGATGAAGAAGTTTACAGAATGATAGAGAAAAGTAGCGTAAAACTTCTATCACCGAAATAGCACTGCGGCTCTAGGGTATGGGAATATCTGGGAAAGCTTAACCTACTCATTCTCCTAAGGGGCATATTTATAGCCTTGGAGAATGGTAGGTTAACAAATGATTGGGCTCCAACTTTAAGGAGGCACATTCCTATTTAGGCAATTGAGCCTTTACCAAATAAACCCTATTCTATGAATAAATAAACTATTACAAAAGGCTATTTGAACATTGATCACAATACAAATGAAATATCTCTAACAATCTCTCCCTTTGTGATCAGATGTTCTTGCTTCTTCTACTCTTCACTTCCAAGCTTTATAATAATGCTTTCTGAGATTGAGTGCATGCTCGTAGCTTCTGAGTGATCTTCTATTGTTGATTTGCTTTTTGATGGCTTTCAGAATATTATCAACTCTTTCCAGTTCCTTGAGTTCGTCCTTTGAGGCTTCAGTCTGTCTTTTATCAAGTTCTTCTTTTCTTGGTCGCAATTGTTCCCGGATGATCTTCAAAGTCCCGTCACAGTATTTGCGAATGTCTTCAACAACCATCAGCCGCTTCTCCTCTTTGTGATTCAGATAGATGACTGAGACCGGATTGTCAAAGGTGTGGTATGTTGAGTAGGGTTCAAGTTCAGGTCTGTTCCAGTCTGGTTGTGTGAGATTTGCCTTTGAATAGTTGTTTTCTTGGGCCATTTGGAGATCATGGGAAGCATAATATCGAACTTGTCTTGTCATGAATATTTTGATAGCCTCAAAGCCTTCTTTAGCAATTCTGTCCTTGTGGACTGGGAGTTGTTTGCATGCCATGAACATCTGATAGATGTCATCCATGTGTAGTAAGAAGAAGTCATTCTCTTGGCAGGTGAACTCAGTCCCGTCAGTGCGCTGTACTTGGAAAGTATAGAACCTGATAGTCTCGAGATAGTCTTTTGTTACCTTTAGAATCTTTGACACAGGAGCTAAGCTTGTTTCCAGATTATGATTCAGAATTCTGCGTTGTTCACCTGTTGATCTTTGGTAAAGCATAAAGATGTGTCCTCTTCTGAACTTTCCTTTAAAATGGTTGAGTCCACGAATTTTCAGTTCACTGAATTTTATGATTTTCTCTGGTTGACAACATATTCGCTCTCGAATTTCACCTAGAAAGGGGGGCTTGATTCTGAGAATTTCCAAGGGCTTTTTAATTTCCTTTTGCTTGGTGACTGGTTCCGGCTCCTTGGAATTTTCCTTGTAGTTCTCCCCTTCCTTGATTTCATCTTCATCGAGCTCAATCATCTCAGCAGCACACTTGGCAATAAGTTCTCTGAGACGCACTCTTCGTTGTATTTCATCTTGCTCTACTTTTTCTTTTGAATAAAGACATATAGAATTTTCAAAGACTAATAGAATTTTATATTAGCCTCTCTGATCTGATATATTTTCCTTGCTTGGAGATTCTTTATTTTAGTATACATTTATAACAGTAATAGTATACTAATGCTTGAATGATCAACAGTTCAACACATAGAGAAAGATGTTCAAGTTGTTAGACAAGCCAGCAGAAGTGATATAGTGTGCACTCCGTGTGAGGAATTTACAGCAGAGGCTATCACTTACCTTCAGAGTAACAAGACCCAAGAAGAGATTATTAATCTCCTTCTTAAGTCTCGCCCGATGTTGCGTGTGTATGAGCAGCAGGTATGTATGGTCAAGTTTCAACTGTGTGTTAAAAATGCATCATTTGTGTGAAATAATAATGAGGGAATTATAAACAGGGGTCAATGTCATTCTCTTAGCTAGGCTGTAGAAACTCTTGAAAGCATTTTGTAACAAAAAAACTCCTGAAAGTGACCTTTGTTTTTAATTTATATTTGCAGTGCATCACATTGGTGAATAACTATGGCCCTCTTCTAATCTTAGAGGTCTCCACAAAAGAGCCTAAACAGTTCTGTCAAAAGTCACCCGAAGACAGTCTTGATAAGGTTATAAGCTTTCCTCGAGAAATCCGCGAAAGGTGTTTTGCTGTCAAAATCTTCTTTGAAAATCGAGAGGTACTTTATGGGAGAGGTTCTCTCTGTTGGAACTGAGGTTGGTGAAGTTTTTGAGGTCGGGAAGAAGTTTCTTTTTTTTATGCGAGTGCCTATGAGTTAAACTTGAAAACAAATTAGAAACACATGTTCTGCAAAGTGGGTGACTTGTTGGCAGTGGTTGAATAGATGGAATTTTGCTCTCTAAAGTTGTACTTGAGCGCCTCTCTTGTTTTAAGATCCACGTATTTTACCTGCTAATAAACAGGTAAGGGTTGTAAGGCGTGATAACGGGGCTAAAATTGATATTCCCATGGAAAGCATTGCTGAAGATGTGAAAGTCATGATCGCTGCCATTTAACAAAATCTCTTTGATGTTGTAAACCAAAAGAGAAATGCATGTGTCCAAGTTGCTAAGACATGGGATGAGTATGTGAAAGCTCTGAATGACAAGTTAATCTTGGCTCCATGGTGTGATGAAAAGGATGTTGAGAAAGATGTGAAGGGCACAAACAAAAGGAGAGATGGGTGCATCAAAGACACTTTGTTGTTCATTAACAGCTTAAGCTTCCAGAAGGAACGTTGTGCTTTGCCTCGGGGAAACCTGCCAAGATATGGTCATACCGGGGCCATAGTTATTGATATGATGATGAGAATCCAAACACTTTGTCATGGCTTATTTGTCCTATTATGTTATTTCAAACTTGTTTACTATTTTGTTGTGATATGATTATATACATGTAGTATTATTTTTGTTGTTGTACCACATAGATTACATTTTGTTACATCTTGTTGCATTTTTTTGCATTTTGTTGCATCTTATTACTTGTTGTCGCACTGTGTTTATTATTACCTGTTTACTATTTAGTATTGATTCAGATTTTTGTTTACTTAGATTTCTATTTATTTTTCGACATCATTCATTTTCATTTTCATTTACCCCATTGCCGCAAAGGCTCCCACCTACGGTGGGGTAAGGGGGGGTCGGATGTACGCAGTCTTACCCCTGTACAAGCACAGAGAGACTGTTTCCGGATGACCCGTAGTGAAAATCGCGTCTAAAATTGCATGAACTGGCTGCTGCTTCATAACAAAGAAGCGCAGACAGTTTAGTGAGACATCCTTATTTATTTTTCTACATCCTTAACATAAAAATATCTATATAGATTTATATGAAAACACTGAAAATGTTAAATTTCGTTTTGTGAATATGAAAAATTAAACAACAAGAAACAATAAAAAACAAATATTCCCGAATTGTCAACAAAAAGAAACACAAAAAAACAATATGCAACAATCACTAAAAATAAAATGATAATAATAATGCAAAATTTATGTACTTTAAGAAAAATTACATTAAAAACTAGTACTTTTTTTTTAATTTAAATTTTACATGTTTTTATTTTAATTTTTCATTTTTCCGTTTAATTTAAGCTAATTTTATACTATTTAAGGAATCAAGGGACATTAATTTTCAAATTTTTTATAATCTTAAATAATATATTATACAAAAACAATGTAATATATATAGTATATAAAATTAAATATAAATTTATGGAATGTTTTTCAAATTTATATATTTAGCTGATTTTTATTTTTTAATATGAATATTTTTATTCTTTTTTTCATATATACTACCTCCGTCCCGGTGAACTTTGCCAAGTGCAAAGTAGGTGAGAAATAAAAATAGTAAAAACTATGTGGTTGAGATTTGTGCAGAACTACAAATTAGTTGCTTTAAAAGGAAAGTGGCAAAATTTTTGGGGACAACAAATAAGGGAAAGTTGGTAAAATCTAATGGGACGGAGGGAGTATTACTTTTTATTTACGTAAAAATATTTTTATTACTTTTTTTATATTATTTCATATTATTAAAAAGTTTAAAAATATTTTTATCTCATTTCAAATATTTTCTGTATAATTATGTTTTTTATTTTTTTCAACCATTTTATACATTTTATTAATTTTTTTAATATTTTTATATAAATTATATCAACTATTTAAGAAGATCAGACTACCATACAAAAAACAAACTTTGAACCTTTTTTACATTTCCCCACACTTTAACTAATTTAAACTTTTTTATTTGTTTGTTTTCAAGTTTTTTAAAAGTTTCGTATATGTTTTTTATTTTTCTGAACTGTTTTTACACATTAATTTCATTTTCAATCATTTTTACAAGTTTCCAAATTTTCTGTTTTTTTTTTTATTTTCATTTTTTACTTTGAGTTTTTGGTTTTTTTTTTAAATTAAATTTCATTTGACGGAATTTTATTTTTTCTAAGCATTAGCATAATTTAGGCTTTTCACACATTCCTATTTAAAAACAAAGAAGTAATTCCTGCACTTTGAATAATGAAACTAAAGACTCAAAGTCACGTGCACTAATAAGGATAAGACTAATATGGTATGTGGAGGCTTCACACAGGACGTGAAGTCGTGAACTCATGCAGTGCCGATCCTACCTAAACTCGGGCCTGAGTCGAACTTTCTAAAAAGGCATCTGTAATTTTTTGTAGTATAATGTGTTGAATAATAAATTCTTGACTTCTTGTCACCATATTATACAATGTAACATGTTCAAAATTTAATATCTAAATGTCTAAAAAAGGATTAACTTAAATAAAAAAAAGTTTTCAATTCTCGATATCCTATACAATTTCGGCCAAATGCTCTCTGACTTCAAGTCCCATAATATATACTTCGTATATACAAGATGATAAATGGCTTTACAA